AAACTCTATAATTTGGTAGTGTAAAGGCTCCAGCACTTTGACTGAACAACAACGGCAACGTTCCATCAGCCCTATCAGCTGTTATCACCTCCTGTCACCTGCCGTCGATGTCCCCATCTCCCACTCTATATCATTTTCTGAAATCAACGCCTAGCTGATGCTGTGTCCCGCGTTATGAGTATGGTGACCTTACCATTAACTCCCCTTATCAAATCTTATCAGCTGCTAGCCCTTCTTGTCACCCACCAATAACAATCGTGTCCCATAGCCTATACCATACCTTGGAACCAACTTCCCACTGTTGCTGTGTCCCGCACTATGGACTCGGTGACCCTTCCCTTCAGACGCCTCTTATCGGATCTTATCAGCTGATATCACTCCCTGTCACCCACCAATAATGTTCCCGTCACAGCCTCTATATCACTGCTTGGAATCAACTTCCTACAGCTACTGGGACCGGCGCTATGAATTTCGTGACAGACAGACAGAGAGACAGACACACACCCACGGACATAGCCGATTATATAAAGTAGGATAGATTCTAATATAAAATACTCATTAAGAGGCTTCATGACTGAACATATGTGGAAGGCGAAACATATAAGGTGACCCAGTCAGTGAGAAGATATGAAAAAGTCAAAGGTTACCTATTAAGAAGTGATTCAACCAAGAGGAATTCCGAGCATACGTGATAAATCTTCAGTAGCCTAGCAGCAGAAATTCTGTAGGATTACAGAAAAGGAGCATCAGAAAAAGAGGGTCACGCGATCCATAGCGCCAGTCTGAGCAAAACCGGCAAGCTACCTCCTAGATGTGACTCGGGGAGTTGGAAGGAACGGTACGGCCTGGCGACAAGAAGTGATAGCGGTTAAAAGATCTCAGAAAGAGCATTAGAAAAAGAGGGTCACACGATTCATAGCGCCAATCTCAGCAAAAGGAGAACCTGATTCAAGAATATGATCAGGGACTGAAGGGGAACGTTATTATGTGGGTGACAAGAAGTGATAGCAGTAAATAAGATGTGACTAGGGGCCTTAAAAAAAGTGTCACCCGATTCACAGCGCCAGTCTCAGCAAAAGGAGAACTTGATTCCAGAATATGATTCAGGGACTGAAGGGGAACATTATTGGTGGGCGAGAGCAAGTGATAGCGGTTAAAAAGGTCTCAGAAAAAGTATTGGAAAAGGAGGGTCACGAGATTCATAGCGCCAGCCTCAGCAAAACTGGCAAGCTAGCTTCGATATGTGATACGGGAAAGGAACATTATTATGTGGGCACCAAGAAGTGATTGTGGTTAATAAGACCTGAGTAAGAGCATTGGAAAAGGAGGGCCAAGAGATTCATAGCGCCAGTCTCAGCAAAAGGAGAAATTGATTCCAGAACATGACTCAGGGACTGAACAGGAACATTATTATGTGGGCGAGAAGAAGTGATAGCAGTTAATAAGACCTGAGTAAGAGCATTAGAAAAGGAGGGCCAAGAGATTCATAGAGGCAGTCTCAGCAAGACTGGCAAGCTAGGTCCGAGATGTGATTCGTAGAGTTGGATGGAACGTTACGGCTGGGCGACAAGAAGTGATAGCGGTTAAAAAGATCTCAGAAAAGGCATTGGAAAAGGAGGGTCACGAGATTCATAGCGCCAGTCTCAGCAAAAGTAGAAAGTGATCCCAGAAAATGATTCAGGGACAGAACAGGAAACATTATTATGTGGGCAACAAGAAGTGATTCCGGTTAATAAGACCTGAGTAAGACCATTGGAAAAGGAGGGCCAAGAGATTCATAGCGCCAATCTCAGCAAAAGGAGAAATTGATTCGAGAATATGATTCAGGAACTGAACAGGAAAATTATTATGTGGGCAACAAGAAGTGATAGCAGTTCTGTGTCGTGACAACAGCTTCTATTTTCTCATGGGAAAGTCGAAGATAGTCGACTCCAAAGGACCAACAACAACTTCGAAGCTGGAAATCCATGCTATAACTATAGGAGCTTGCTTAACACTGAACATTCTTCATTGTCTCAATGGTACTGCACGCATTAATAGCATCCTTTTGCTTTCCGACTCGGAAATTTCACTAAAATGGCTCAACACTTCTCCTCGCCGTCTCAACACTGGCCAGAATGTTTCCAATCGTGTCAAAGAAGTTCACCGAATTGTTCGCAAAAGAAAATCAGCAGATAGACGCTCGGATATGTTGACACTAGATGGAATCCGGCAGACTGCGCCACAAGAGGAGCTACTTCATCGGAAACCAATCACATATGGTGGAAAAGCTACCCACTACGAGAAGTTCGAAGTGGGACTTTGTTTCAAACCTGTTTGCTATCCCAGAAGAACAGGGAGAAGATGGACCTTCTGATTCAATAGTAATGTTGGTTGAAGCACTCTTTCTCAGGAAACCCAATACGCAGAACTGATGGAAACATCTAATCACAATAGCTACAATAAAGTTCGAAGGGTGTTAGCTTACGCGCTGAGATTTTTGAGGAAACATCTATTCCCGTCTCAATGAAGATCTGAAAACCAAATTGAGACGAAATTCTCCGTGGATGGCAGTTCTGAAGGATAGCCAGCAACCAAAAGCGGAAGAGATCAGAGATGCAGAATCATCAACAGACTCATCTCAACGAGTAATATAGGAGGAACGAAATTACGAGGAAACTAAACCTCAAGATGGATAAGGATCAAGAAGAGCATACGGAGGAATGAATAACTCAGAACTGTGTGAGTCATGGAAAAATCCGATCATAATCGCTCCGAAAACGGAACTCAGCCGCCTTCATCATCGCTGAGTCCCATAGCGGCTACCATAAAAGCATCGGTCACACAATGTCAGATGTTCGACAACGATTCTGGATCCCCAAACTCAGGGAACAAGTAAAGAGACATGTACGAGCATGCATACCTTGCCAAAAATTGAACAACTTGCCGTACAAATACCCGGAGATGACCGACTTACCAGCCACGTAGGGTTACCAGAGCTCGGCCGTTTCCAACACATCGGACTTGATTATTTCGGAACAATCACTGTAAAAAGATGGAGGCACCGAATCCAATGCGTACGAGCGCAATTGCTTGCTCGATTAATCCACCTTGGGACAGTAACAAATGGAACAACCCAAGGTTTTCTGAACGCCACCCGGAGGTTCGTCGCACAAAGAGGAATACCTTAAACCGTCACATGTGACAATGCGCCTATATTCGTGCTGGGAAGTCAAATTCTGAAGTGATCGGATACCACTCAGATGCTGAAAGAAGACGTAGCGCAATCTCATAGAATGGCACCACATCACACCATACTCGCCATGAAAAGGGGATTTCGTGAGCGACTAATCCGATCAATAAGGCGCTCCCTTCAACACAGTTGGAAGGAAAATATTATCGGAATTCTTGGGAACCTTTCTGGCCGAAATCGAAGGATGTTTCAACACAATACCACTGACATACCAAGAAACTGATTTCGACCACAACCTCATACCCTTGCGCCCAATCGACTTTATCCAGAAAGATATGGATCGATCCAGCAGATCTCCAAACGAGCACAGAATGTAACAATGATGACAACTTGTATTTTCCTCCCAATGGAAAGAACACGACTGCAAACCCATATTGGGACGCTAAAAGCGCTACAATCATCTCAGGCGCTGACGGAAATGTATTGGACCGCTTGGAGGGACGTCTATCTGACTGCTCTCACCAGGAAAGGATGGTTGGTCGAAGTGGCCATTCGAAATGAGATGTATACTGCCCGATGGGCCCTTGGACGCTGATTACAAATCTGCCCTCCATATCTGCTAAACGATTCCCTGGACAAAGTTATGCAGGAATTTTGACCAGGTCACACCCATTTCCAGCATGTATATGAGGTACACAAAACGCCCAAATTCGCCGAAATCTGAAATTAGAGGTGCTCTGGTGCCCTGGAAATCAACACTGCAGTCATTTTTCGTGAAAATATCTTGTTCGCCTTCTGGAGGGGCAGGGTGTGCAGGAACCGGCAACGTCCTTGGCAAGCGTTTTTACGCCGAACGTGTGATATTCGTGTTCTGGGGCTCAAATTAGCCCTAGAGACAAGTTTTCAACCAAATTTGAGATTTCGACCTATTTTCGATACAGTGGGGTAACCATGGGCACAAATTCCTTAAGGCTCGCTGGCACTATCGCCGATCAAAATCTCTGTGAGCAATGGAGCTTTTCCGCTGAATTTCAGTCCTCACTGTGTTATTTACGGTCCTGATCACAACCACGACATCCATCTTTGGCTTCCATGCCATTTGGAATCAGTTTAGCGACACAACCCAGCGCAACGAATAATGCCACCGGAACCAACAATCAGGAGTGTCCTTTAGGAAGTGTGCCAGAATGGCTCTATTCCTTCAGAAATAAAATTTTCCGGTGGGATCAGGTCTCCTAGCCCCGCAAAAGTGCTTTTAGGATGTGCAGGAAGCATTTTTGAGAAAATGCAAAACGACAAATTACGGAAGGATCCGAACCCTTGACCTTGCACACATGAGGCCGGTCGCTTCTCCACTACGCCATTGAGGCACGTGTGCAATAAGCTCACCCATCATTGAGATACTTGCTGAGCATTGGTAGTCTCAAGCAGTGGTCTGCTCAACAAGCTTCCGTATCGGAGAATCGTTTAGCAGATTTGGAGGACAGATTTGAAATCAGTGTCCAAAGACGCATCAGCCGGTATACATCTCATTTCAAATGGCCACTTCGACCAACCATCCTTTCCTGGTCAGAGAGAACCATCGCCGTCGCTTCGACCAAAAACACGGAAGCACGAAGGCCCCCCGCGTCGGGGAAGTGGTTTTGCTCACAAACCCATGCACTACGTCAAGTACTGATGCAGAAGAAAGAATTCCCAAATATGACCAGTAGCCTTTTATTTAAAAACGGCACTGCCACTCTCAACTATAACTCCATCCGATCAAGCCTCGACAACCAAGGAGAACCCATAGGACGCTTCGTTTGAGTACTGCTTGAGTGCAGAAGGAATGGAGTTCACCTTCGCGCACCTGTCTATGGAATATAAAATGTGCGTCAACGAACAATACATAAAGGAACAACACCCTCCAATACAGAAGTTACATAAGATGCCATCAGAGAAAATCTCTAAGATTTCAAAGCAAGATGGAAAGTACGTTTCGGACATTGGATCGTAACGGTAGAGAAGTCCTGCCCAGCTCAACAATTTTGCCTAACGATTGACTGCACGATATGCTTGACAAATATACTGAATCCAGAATGCTGGCCTTTAGCTGCCATAATTGGACTCGGTTATATTCCTGTACCTAGTCATAGCTTTCTTTTCAGTGCTGTACAATATTTCACGTGCCTGTTACAGTACTGTAGGACGTCCAGTTCAACTTCTTCTGAGAGCACTATTCGGAATTGGATACCTTGCACTCTACATCGCTGGTGCAATTGCAGGCTCAATCTTACGACTCTTTAATCGTCGAAGATATAGAAATGCTCGGTCAATTCTGGAAGCTCTAGCCATCCTCTACCTCTGCTCTTCAAGCCATGCCTGCCAAATCGTGAATATCTTCTCTCATCACATGAAGAGTTGCACAACCTCTTCCGGGAGGACTACCTGCGTCGTGGATGTGGCATCCGTCGTGAAGATGAACACATTCAAAAGAGATGCATGTTTCCGTTTGCAGAACACGAGACAACTGTTTTGGAGATACGCTTGCAATGGGAGAAGCTTCATTTACTCTGTGACAAGTCATCTAATGGCTACACAAGAAATGTGGAGCAAAGGGTCATAGACAGCGAGCGCTCTGCCCACATGGGCTCCTACAAAGGAAACAAATGCGCTTGTCAACAGTACCAGTCTTTTATCCGAACTCTCCCTGGGAAACAGTTACCCCGGAGTCACAGGCTGTCCAGAATCCTGTGGAGGAATAGGATGCGATTGCCTATCGCTGAGGGCAGGATGTCTGTCTTACAAGATATATGCAGTGCCTACTAATAACGACATTTGTTTTCCTGTGCCCACTGAAACTGCGAGTACAACTCAGAAGAGCAACAACAAAGGAGATGACATCCCATGTCGCTGCTCTGCAACCCAAGTATCCCAATCGAATTACCGGGCATAAGGGGCATAAGTCTGACACTGAGTGTCGTGGCGCTCCCACCTACCCTGGATTGGAAAACAATTTCATCACGACTGGAAATATGACGGCATTGTGGAGTGCTGGAAGAAGACCTACGGTGGAGTGCTCCTCGAAAGAACATGCAGAGAACCTTCGCTGTACAATATCTCAATCGAACTACCGGGCATGGTGGAAAGAACGAGTAAAACTGCGAGTACAACTCAGAAGAGTAACAACAAAGGAGATGACATCCTATGTCGTTGCTCTGCAACCCAATATCCCAATCAAACTACCGGGCATAAGGGGCATAAGGTGCATAAGTCTGATGCTGAGTGTCTTGGCTCTGCCACCTTTACCTGGATTGGAAAACAATTTCATCACGACTGGAAATATGACGGCATTGTGGAGTGCTGGTAGAAGACCTACGGTGGACTGCTCCTCGAAAGCACCAGAGAACCTTCGCTGCACAACGCATAACACAAGTTCCCCTACTTAGTCTCAAGTTGTTTGCCGATGTGAGGACTATAATATCTCGGAGGACTTTCGGAGTATTGAGAAAAACCTCCCGATCACGCTTCCGTCACTGGGACTAATCCGCCATCCTGCACACAGTGCACTGGCAGATGTTGAAAACTGTGTCTCAGTCGAACTAATTCTGAACACTAAGGAAATCGTAACGGATAGCGTTGTGGACGTCATCAACGAAAGATGCACAGTAACGGACACGCAGATAGTCGGATGCTACGGGTGCAAAAGAGGAGCAGTCGCGGAGATAGTGTGCATGTCTTCAGCAGAACCCGTCACTGCAGAAATAGAGTGCGACTCCGATACTTTCACTGTGCACTGTTCCCCTTCAGGCGAAGTGAGCAAATTAAGTTTATGAGATCAAAGGCGCAGGTAGAAAATGCTGATTTGGGTCACATCATCGACGACTATCTAGAGTGGTACAAGGGCATCCTGATTATGCTTGCCATGTTGCACGTTCACTAATTCTCAGCTACCTCATTTAACAATAGCATGTAAACGTTTCCTCGGTATGTGCGTTAGAGGAACGGCTGGTGCCCTCTATTATATCATAAAAATAACAGCATGCATGATTTTTCGCATCTTCTTCACAATCGTCTGTGTGTGCCGTGAGAAGCATAACAGCAAGAGCTATGAAAAAATGCTTTAAACCGAACTATTTACGGAAAGGTGCATTGTTTAGGATCATGGAGCATACGAAACGTATGAATCTCCCAAAGGAGGACGAAGGCATGAAGAACGACGATTGATCGAAGAACTGAAATTCAAACGGTCTTGTGTTAGGCTGCCCCACACAGCCAACAGAACACGATGTTCGACGGAAAATTCGTCACTTCGTCAGAGAAATCCTTCGCGCTACCAAGACCAAACTTGCAGGACGAGTTCACAAAGTTGCAGGGAGACCGTCCAGGTCACTACGCGAGGGGGGAAGCCACCCTCTACAAAGGATTGGTGGAAAATGTTTGGCTAAGAACCGTGCCACACGAAAGAACGTCTGCGCAGTGCAGCGGAAGCACTCGCGATGTCGCATGAAACATATAAGTTCTTGATCATCGCAGAGGCGGCGACCGAAAGCTCAAGGAGCACGTTCTACGAGCAAGGACTACCTATGGAGCCAGTGTCTGTGAGTAATTACGGCTGTAAGGAGACTGACTTTTTGGACGAGTGCTCAGGTGCATGGAAAATGAAATGATGAATATAGAAACCCAGATTGGAAACGAAGAGGAGTGTATTCGGCAACTCGAAAGAAGCAGTCGTCCGATTGCAAAGGAGCATGGAAGCGAATATGGGAGATCTTCAGGACGAGATTTCAAAACAAGGAAAAGGGTCACGAACTAGTCAGTAAGATGGATGCATTTGGCGAAGATATCCAGCGAATCAAAGATTACCTTCTGAAGGTGGAAGAAATCGAAGATAACGACGAAGGTGAACGTCTATCGACAGCAAATAAAGAACGGGACTATGAGAAGAAAAACACCGCTACACTGCCATTGGTCACTGTTGTAGAAGAAACGCCTATGAAGCCGCTATCCGACGGCGAAGTTGCTGAGGATGTACTCGAGTTCGAAGTATGAGGACGTTAATCAGAGTAACGAGGACGGAGTCCCAGAAGAAGAACGAAAGGCGACAGAAAGGGAAAAGGAGGAGGTGCATGACCGTGAAGCAGAGGAGGCCAAATTACTATCGCGGAAGATCTGAAACAAAAACTTCACTCGAAACGACAAGTACCGCGAAGAATCATTGCTTTTGTCAACATTCTGAGGGCGGAAGAGACCTACATCCGTTGCGGCTTCTGTAATGAGAAAGGACAGCACTACAGTGACTGTTGCCCTCTTCTTCAGGAATGTTGATGCGCGTGAAAGACGAGTCTGCTGCAACCGCCTCGACACTCTACACTCTACTGACAGATGTTGGCGACGAAGGATGAGGTGCAGATATTGCGGTCTAGATTCTCACCATAGCGCGTTGTGCTCACTACCGGAGAGAATCGAAAGAAACGAGAGCGAATACCGAGACCTTTCGGCGCAGCTGGCAGAACTGGAAGATCAATATGGAGGACCATCTTCATGAGCTGGGCGGCAGTATCACAAACGTAATCAGATATAACTTAAAGTGAATCATGCTCGAAACAACGCTTAATGGATATATTCTTTCGTAGCACAACATACTTAATTCGCATAAAAGGGGATCAACTCCGACGTTCGATTCACTTGGGTGGTGCATCACAACGATCATAGAGTGCATTTTCGCTTTACTTTTTAACTATTACTTCTCTATCATTATCTGTTAGACCTAATGAATATTTTCTTCCAACCTCCTCTTTTCTAGAATTCTTATTGTATGTTCGTATAATTCTAATTTTCTATTTCATGTCTAAATACCGAAGTTTGAGGTTCAATAAAACTTCTACGACTATCACCGCGTGGCAGCAGCAAGCAAAATTACATTGACCGACTTTTTTCTACACGGGCAGAACTGCCTAAGAATTTGTCTCCCGGGGTAATTTGACCTCCTGAAGATGAATACCACATCCGCTCTGCACGGAACCTCCTTTGGCCCGCGCCACACACGCCGGCGCCACAACTCTCCAAATCACGGCGCGCGGGCGTCAGGTTTCGGGCCAAGCGGACGTGATATTCCTATTTAGGAGGTCACATTACCTCAGAATACAAAATTTGAGTCAAGCCTGTCCAAGGAGAAAAAAGTCGGTCAAAAATTGGCTCGATCCGGATGATTGGGGCAGTAAAGGGTGAATAGTGCCGTTCTCTCAATTCCGCAAGTGGTGTTCGGTAGCAGTAAAGCACAACCAGCTCTTCATGCACGAAAATGTGCGAATCTTTCTTGTACTTGATCGGTGGAACGCTATGGCTTCATTCACCTAAACCACACGTATACTATGCTACGGACTTGTACAAATGTGAAGCTCTTAACTTTCAAACCACCTCCTCTAGCGGCACATCCCCGAAAACCGATTTTCTACGGGGGCAGATTTGGCTGAAAGTTGGGTTCTAGGGGTAATTCGACCTCCTGAACACGAATATCACATCCGCTGGCCTGAAACTGCCTGGCGCCCGCGCCACAGGCGCGGCGCCAAAATACCCTAAGTCACTAAATCAGATTAAAATTACAAGTATCACATTCATTTTTGGCGCTGGCGCTGATGGAAGACGCTGTGATCTCTGCTAAGACTGAGCCTAACCTGAAGGAAATCACTCTTTCTCCCGGGCTCAGCCTTAGAAAAGCGCCAAATGGCGCTGGCGTCGAAAAATAAATGATATTCGAGATCAGGGCATCAAACAACCCCATTGTGCGGGTTTTTATCGATTTTGATGAAAAAGGGTGTGGCGCTAACTTAGCGCCTAATGGCGCCAAATGGCGTCAGGGCTGAAAACTATTCGGTATTCGTGATCAGGACATCAAATAACCCTACTATGCAAATTTACACCGAATTTGGTGAGAAAGGTGGCGGCGCCAAACTGGCGCCAAAAACGAGTGCTACATTCGTGATAAACACACCGAATTACCTCTGGGGGCTAAGTTTCACTAAAAAATTTTTTTTGAGTTTTTGGTGTGGTAGTAAGTAGTTGAATAGTGCCGAAGCACCTCTTTCAGTCTGGAAGGAACTTACATCATCGCCATCATCAGGTGACCAGAGTGGATCAGTACAGTCGTCTTCTAAAAGCTATCTTCCTCGCGGTCGATCAGAGTTTGTCGTACAGCGCGTGGCGCAATGGTCGCGAAATATCGCTCACTAGATAAACGAAATCGGGCACAACATTTCCCAGTTATCGGACGTAGGATCGCAAGACCTATTGGCTGATGAGTGTTGAAGAAAACTATTGCAGATGTCGAAGTAATTTGTTTACCCAAACACGTTGTATTCACCGAAAATACTAAAAAAAACTTTCAGTCCAGGTGCTTGACGCAGATATGAAGTGCATATGGCCTTCTGTTTGAGCAAATTAGGTGAGAGTGCAATTTCTTTCGAAGGTCATCCACAGGGCTCAATAATTAGCAGAGAGGGACCTCTGATGGTCGAACTGGTACCTAAAACCACTTTCCAAGTGTTTAGCATACGTTTCAAGAAAAAGCAAAACTACGGAATGCATCAAGGATTCGAACCTACGGCCCACCGCTATGAGCCCACACCTACCTGCTGCGCCATCGAACCACAGCTACGGCTGTGTCACGAGGGTTTCACAAGTATGGGTAGGGGCGCAGCAAAAAAGGTCCGTAACCAGATTTGAAGTCAGATTTGATATGAGCGTGTCTCTAGGAGTATACATCCTATCCTGAATGGCCATGGCGAGTTGGTATCCTTCCCTTGTGAGGCGAGTAATTCCTCTATTTTGTTTTTACCAATGTATGTTAAACAGTTTTATTAATGAAGAAATTGAGAGACTTGGACGAGTTGCCCGGTATGGAGTCGCATTGGCAAAAGGCGTCAATAACGTCTCAGGGCACTTGTCAACCGGGAGGCCTCTCTTCTCTTTCCTTTTCTTCCTCCCTTCTCCGATCCCTCCTCCTTTACCTTCTCCCTAAAGTGGTGGACTGGTGGATGACTAAATAGCCTGGTGGACGACGAAATAGCCCTGGACCCTCGCAGCGAGAGCACGTCTGGTTGACAAGTGTTCCGTAACCGTCCCCACAATATTGGTCGCGCCAAACTATACTCCCTTCCTAGGATATTGCAGTAGCAGTCAGATCCTAATTAAATACGAACAAGTACAGGTGTCTAAAATACTTCCCTTTAACACGTTGACGACGAACTTTTCTCATGACTTGCAGGCACAAGTAATGCAAGAGGCGAGAATATGAATCTCGAATCTCTGACACAATTTAGCTTTTATTGCTCCAATCTTCCAAAATCAGGCTATTTTTACCAACTTCTTCCTCTGGAGGCATATTTGGCTGAAAATTTGTCTCCCAGGGTAGTTTCACCTCCTAAAGATTCATATCGCATCCCTTTGGACCCGAAAATCTTCGATTTTTCAAAAGAAAATGAAACAACGCGCAGATTTTGATTATATAATAACTGTCGGACAGCACTGGAGTGACGCCGTCCCACAAGACAACCTAGCTGTCGTCCACCACTGACGAAATAGTCGTCAACGTGTCAAGTGGATATGATATTCTTGTTAAGAGGATCGAAATAGCCTAGGAGACATGTTTTTAGCGAAGTTGATGACCTGAGACATTTTGGCGACGGTGCCTGTGGCGCAGGCGCCAGGCATTTTCATGGCAAGCGATTGTGATCTTCGTGTTCGCGGGAGCTCCCGCGATAAAAGCGTCAAGGATAATTGCTGATCAATTATGAAACAGTAGCTGATAAATAATTCCTCAAGAACAAGAGCCCTCAAGACACCATAAACAAAATCGCGCCCTGACAGTCACACCTCCCTGCGGTCTCTGTGCAAGCCCTGGCTCACAAATCACTTTGTCACATCTCCCAGTAGTGGATATCATCGAATGCGAAGAAAAGAAAACAAAAAACAACAGAAACATAGAGGAAAAACTCTTGAAAAAAAGGAAACATTTAAAAGCCGGCGTCCGAACTTAGGGTTACGGTAGCGAGCATGTTTTAGTGTAGTGAAGTGCGTCGAGCTTTTGCACCACAGAAATTGCATCATTCGTGATTTTTACGCGTTTTACCTTACGAGATGGGTTGCTGTTGACTGTACGTGCTCCCAATGAATAAAATGTGATGAAGGAGAGCAGAATTATTTACGAGCACGAGCGCGGTCAGCAAAAAATACATGCAGTTCCGATTAATGACTGCCGTCCCAACAAGGAACAACTGAGCGGCTCTCCGTCAGAGGGCAGCTAGCTAGTGAGGCGGTCCAACTGAGCAGGCGTTAGAACTAGAACTTTGAGCGGTTCTAGCTCGCTCCTCGCTGAGGAGTCGCGAGAGTGAGATAGTATCTAGCTTGGGGGCTGAACTACCTGCCCAAGGAAGGACGACCATGTACTACTTGAGCGCGGGGGCTGTCTTTAAGCTGCCCCAGGAGACAAGTTTTCAGCGAATTTGGTGGTTTATGGTATTTTGGCGCCGGCGCCAGGCAGTTTGCGCCAAGCGACTGTTATTCGTTTGAGGACAGATTGGCTGTCAGCCACCATTGTCTGCCATCGTCGTCAACGTGTTAACGAAGATATCCTTTGCTAAACCTCCACTGTGCGAGGAGAGACACTCAGGTCTCTCCTCCCTCTGTGACCACGAGATCTGGCTCTTGCCGCTCTGCATACATACTCTTCTGTCATGGCAAAAGAGGGCGAGAAATTGCTCGGAAGCGAAAAAATGGTTGAAGACAATTCTAGCGATCAAAAACTGTTGATAGTGAATGTTCTGGATAGCCAAATGGACCCCGCCCCAGTGCATACTTTTATGACCAAATGATTGATACCTGTAGTCCATAGGAACTAGTGAAACATATCATTATGACCTGTAGGTAAATGGTAGAAACCCAGTGCGTGACCTATTCGACATTGCACGCCTAGGTTAAATGAGCATTCTACCACATCTACCACCGAGACCATCCTGTTCGGAATACCTGCAGACCAGCCCGTCTCACCTTTA